CATGCTTTTATAGGATTACAATTAATTCCCTGTCCACTTGGAAGTGGTTTACAAGATAAAGTTAGATTGTTTGTAACCCAGAGGTTCTGTTGTTTTTACCCAAGAGTTTATAAAGTAAAACTACATATAACCTAAAATGAGAACTCAATAAATAGGAACTAGGAGACACAAAAAGTAAATATTTTAAAAGTGGTAGAACTTGTCTATAGATTATAATACACTTAATTGAAATGCATTAAGGGAACCACTTTAATGAAGAGATTACGATTTTTTTTTAAAGCCCATATTATCAATTACATATAAATGTATATTTTAATGTGCTTAATGATATTTCAGAGTCATTTTACTTATTTTTTAAAAAAATTCCTGCTTATAAATGCAATGTATTCTTATAATAGAAATGTCAGAGAAGTACAAAGGAAAAATAATTTTTCCTAAAAAACAAAATGCTGTCATGTGTGTGAAGGACTGAAGTCACCAGTGCAGAGGAAAGGACACTAAAGTAGTGACCAAGGGCCTTGTGTTTTGGTCCTGCCTGGCCCAGTGGCTTGCCCAGTGCCTTTGGCCAAATCCTTTCACTCTCTGGTCTTGACTTCTCCCTTCTGAAAAAGGAAGCTGGGGAGATTTGAGCTAGATGATCTTTAAGGGCCTTTTTTGCTCTGATGTGAAATGGAATTCTATTTTAGACATTTCATCACCACTGATGTTTGCACTCTCTGTCTCTTGGACGAATACCTGTCATGGATATTAGATAGTTTCTTTCAGTCTTCATCAGAATCACTGATATTCTACATGAACTCAGTTTATAACTCATGACAATTATATTTATGCATTCATTAATTCATTCATATATCCATTAATTCATTCAATGAATGAGTTGCCTATCTTGTGTCAGGCACTATCCTAATCATTTGGATACAGAGATGATTAAGACAAGGTTTCTATAATCAAGATAGTTTCAGGAAAACAGTATAAAAAAATAGTTTCCCTATCCCATTGGCATAGACATCACTATTGCAAAATACATATTCTCATATATTCAAACATTTATTTACTGAATAGCCACAATGTACCAGGCAAAGCAGCAAGTGCTGGGAGGTACAGTGGTGAGCAAGGAGGTTCCACTGTCATAAAGCTTGTAGTGTCAGTGTTAAGGGAGCATGAACATTCACAGCCAGCAGGTGAAAACCATGCCTTCATGCGTCCCTGAAGAGCCATTCTTTGACAGCCTAACTGTCCTAGGTGTGCAGAAGCAGGGCTGAGGGAAGGACTCATCTAGGGAAGTGGTAAATCGTCAGCTCTGGTTGTGAGACGCTTTGCATCTTGCAAGAAGGAAATGCTTTGTTGCAAATAGTGGAGAGTTAGCTGAGCCAGCAAAATGGCAAACAGAAGTCAATAAAGCCAATAGCCCTGGCATTGATGGAGATCTTGCCAAAGTCATCCAGCCTGCCTGCTAAGAGTGATCACAGTGGAGGTTAAAACAAATAGTGTTCAGAGAATAGAAGTTAGGAATTTATAAGGCAATACATACAGCACAGCAGACTCTTGTTGGCTTCCAGAATTGAACATCTATCTACTCCAACATTCCATTTTGCAGATGAGAAGATTAAGGCCCAGAGGGAAGAAATGTATTTGCCCAGTGCCCCAGAGTTATTATATGAACATGTACCAACACCCAGTGGAAAGAAACTTGGAATGAAAGGGAAAGGGGAGGAGACTAATTTATTGAGCATCTCCTTATTCTTACTTCAGCTCTGTCAGCTTTCAGACTCACATGCTATTCCCTCTGCCTCACTTGTTCCCCAGACATCCATAGTAGGTCCCCAGGGTGGATGCCTCTCATTTGCAAAATACATATTTGCTGCATAATGAATGTCAGTAATTTATGATCCATTTTGAGGCAGGGAAAAATTTCCTAGCAAGCACACAAGGAAGAAAGAAAAATATAGCAACATCCTTTCTCTGAGTACATTTCTCATTCTTACCAATATTCCAAAAGGAGGGAGAGGGAAGAAAAACAGTGTGTCCTTTCATCCAGGCCCTGTTAGGAGAGATAGGGATCTCATTCTTTGCCCTTCCATAAGGAAGAAAGAGCCACCTTCCCCACCCCACCTGACTTCCTGTCCCTTTGCCAGAGGTAACCATTTTACCTCTCCTGTTATGAATCATGAGGCCCGTGGCTTGTGGCAGATCATAAATCAGTTTCAGAGTCTTGAGGACAAATCCTAGGACTTTTAATCTTTAATATTAGACGTGTTTAAAGTGGTGAATATTTCATGAAGGGACTGTTACATTTTAACACATCATTAGTGACTCCCATACCCTCCCCCATTTGGTAAATTATTCCCATCAAAATCTCAAGAATCTCAAGCCTCTATTCCTTTACCCTCAGCAACAATCAGATCATGAGGTTACACATACTTACAGCTAACCCTTCTGTGGAAGAGCTTGGCAGGATTAGGGAGCAGTGTTACAGAGAGCTACTGCCCTGAGCAGCCTCCACGGTATATATCAGGTCCCCAGTGACAAGGAAAGGTACATACCTCCCTCTGCTCCTCCTCGTCTCCCTCATATTCCTTCCCCTCCTCTTTCTTCTGCATTTCAGAAACCTTATTCTGAATATTTTGAGTACTATTTCTGACCCATTCTTTACTCCATCCTCTATCTTACTGCCATTTCAGTTGAAACGACATTTATTAAACCTATGTTTTTTTGCCAAACTTATTAAGTGCTAAACAGCTCTGGTAGCATAGCGGCTAAGGCACTTGACTGCTAACCAGAAGGCTGGTGGTTCAATCCCACCAGCCACTCCTCGGAAGGAAGGTTAGGCAATCTACATTCTTAGTGATACCACCTTGGAAACCCAAGGAGGGGTCACTATGAGTCAGGTCTGACTTGATGGCAAATAACAACAACAAGGGTCAAAATACAACATTTATAGTTAATTATTAAAAACAGTAAGGTCATTTGATAAATATTATTACGAGTACCAGTTGTCCTAGAGTTGATTCCAACTCATGGCAACCCCATACACGTCAAACGGCAAATGGACCCGGGCTCCATAGGATTTTAAATGACTCACTGTTCAGAAGCATGTTTCCAGGCTTTTTCCCAAGCACCTCGGGGTGTCCTCGAACCTCTTAACTTTCCAGTTAGCAGCTGGACATGTTACTGTTTGCTCCACTGAAGAAGTCCTTGATGAACACAGATACACTGAAATCAGGAGCTCTGAGTGATGGTAGAACTCGTGTTGCCCTAGTCTCCTTTTTATTGCTATACTTTGTTTTGGTTGCACAATGTTGAGAAAATCGTGGTTCCCAAGATAGGTAGTTGCAAATGGCATGTACTGGTTAGCACCTTAGCTCACAGTTCCAGTGTCCTCTTGGATGAAACAGACATGACAGAAGTTACTCATTTCTGTTTATTTTCTCTGAGTCCTACACAACGTAAGTTTACCTGGCAATATGAGTTAAAGTGATGATGATCTCCAGTGTTCTAAATTCTGCCATGGAACATCTGAGTATCTCTTTTCAGTTTTCTTTTTAAAGATATTGAAAATGAAAACTTTTTAAAGGAATTAAAATCTAAACTTTGCAAAATCTCAAAATTTCCTCCATTGAAGCACACATATTTCCATGGGACATAGTTGGAAAACTTTGAGTCAGACCACTCAGAACCACTGTAGAATCAATTGTTAGACCCCAGGCTCATCTGTTTGTATGTGTCCAGAAGATGAGGAAGAAGGAAGTTCAACAGCAATATTCTGGAAATTTATCAGAGCCTTAACAGATAATTATTTATTCAACTCAAACCTACGGGCATCTGCTCATCTCTAGGCAGTGGACTAAGTCAGGGTATCTCCTCCTGGTGTTTCCCAAAATATGTTCCACAGAATGACAATGTGGTGAACTGTTCCTCCAGCAAGGTTCTCAAGGTGAACTCAGTCTGAGACAAACTATACACATCACCCACATGGAGATTCACACGCCAGTGATGATACAGTATTTCCCAAACTTACTTTTTGTAAAATTTATTTTTGGAAGATCATCTATGGGCATTCCACACACACATTTTAGGAAGAACCAATAAATAATTGAATCAAAAAAAATATCCTCTCACCTTAAAGAGTGTGTTTAGTGGACCAGTACTGATCACAGCAAGGGAGTAGGACACTTCCAGGATTTTGAACTCTGAAGACATACTAGAAAATAGGACATGTGCTGGCCAACTGAAATGAGCTTGAGCAGTGGAGGAATGAACTTAAGGTTGTGTGAGAGCCTAACTAGCATTTTTGCAACCAAGTGTAAGACATTGGCAGAAATAAAAAGATGGAAAGATGGAGGATGGATGGATGGATGGATTTCTAAGAAAAAAAAAAAAAAAGAAGGGAGGAGAGGAAATTAAGAGGAAAAGGAAAGAGGAAGGAACAGAAGGGGAAGGGAAGAGGGAGAGGAGAATAAGCTTAATAAACAATAATAAAAACTAAATAAGACCAGGAGACTGGAGGCAAAAACAATATTTTCAAAATAGAAAAAGAAGGTCTTCTTGGATGAGGTGGAATTTTATGTAAGGCTTATGAACTATTAAGACTTGTTCATTCAGGCAGAGATAATTTGATTTTTTTATTATAGTTTTAGTGTAAATGCAAGTTATCATAATTTAAATATTTGAAAATTGGACTTCCCTTTGCAGCCACTTGGTTACTCTCTTTCCTTCATTGAATTATGAGCTCCTTCAGGGTCTGGGTTGTGTCTTTGATCTCTATATCCACAGTGCTTAGCAGAATGCATGGTGTAGCATGTGACCTGCATTTTTTTAATGAATACATGAATGAATTAGCAAATGAATGAATGAATGAATGGACTCTTTATTAACCACAATGGCAAATGGACCGGGGCTTTTCTAAAATTGCCATCTCATTTTATTTCCCAAGAAAATAAGGAGAAGGCTATCTTGAGAAGGCAGTATTTCACAAGATACTTTTCTTTTTTCTCTTACAGGAGAGTGCAGTTGTCATGAAGGATTTGCCCCTGACCCCATCCACAGACATCTTTGTGTGCGCAGTGACTGGGGACAGAGTGAAGGGTGAGTAGCAAAGGGCACCAGGGCAGGACCTGTGGAAGGCCCATTACCACCTTCTCTGAAACAGTTTTGCTCTTGCAAAACTCAATAGGATGTAAATCCTACTTTCCTCCAGAATCACATTTTAGTACTACAGGTGCATGACTGATGCATCTTCTAGAGAATGAAGGCAGAAATATTCATTGAAACATAACTGTAAATATTCACATCACCCTTCCAAATATAGTTTTTGTTACCTAAACTTCAAAATGGACATATGAACTTTCAAGTACTTCTTAAAATGGAGACATTCTTCTATAATGTAAATAATATGATCCATTAGGAGCTCTGGTAGCATAGTGGCAAAAGCACTTGACTGCTAACCAGAAGGCTGGTGGTTCAAACCCACCAGCCACTCCTCAGAAGGAAGGTTGGGCAATCCTATTCCGTAGTGATAATGCCTCAGAAACCCAAGGAGGGGTCGCTATGAGTCGGGGCCGACTCGACGGCACATAACAACAACAACAACATTAGTTACTTGTGGGTTTTGGTAATTTGTAAAGCTGTTCTGAGGCAGTTTCCACTTATGAATCCCACCTACTTCTGACTAATATCATCTCCTTTCCCCTTTTCTCCTCCTCCTATTCTCCCTATAGGCCTTGGCCTTACACAACACTTGAGAGAGGCTATGATCTTGTGACAGGGGAACAAGCCCCTGAGAAGATTCTCAGGTGAGTTGACCATTATGTTGGGGCATTATGCTGGGAAATGGAGAAGGTTCTGATACGGAGGTGTGATCATGTGTCTTAAGTCTAGTTTACCTATGAGACTCCAGGCTCCATTGAATACAGGGGGATGCTCGGTGACACTAACAAACCATTATGACCTGGGTTGCTATGGGAATCTCATTCCTGTTTGTCTGGCATCTAGACTTGTCAACTCAGATACTTGAACAAGGAGACATACTAATGATTATTCAATCCAGTGGCTTAAAACTGTTTTGTAGCTATAGAACCTCTTCCTGACACCTCTGTGAAATCTCTGTGAAACTGCAATATTTAAGTAGATAAAGACATACAACAAATTAAATGACAGAGGTGATAATCAAATTTTGGTTGAAATTGATTCAGAGTCCATGCTTTTAACATTTGTGCTAAGATTGTCCTTTCTGACTCAGAAGTCATTTATGAAACCCCTGATAGATATCAAGACTCCTGGGAAGACAGACCTGAAAGGCTTGTCTTCACAGACTCCACTTTTTCTAGGACTTCCACCTGTTGTTGTTATTTGCCGTCAAATCAGACCCAACTCATCGTGATTCCTCCTTGGGTTTCCGAAGCAGTATCACTATGGAATTAGATTGCCCAACCTTCCTTCCGAGGAGCGGTTGGTGGATTTGAACCGCCAACCTTAAGAAAATCAGTGTGTTGACTAGATGATTGATAGATGAATTTAAGAAATATTGGCCCAAGTCTGTGAAAAGTTAGCCAAAATTGTGTCTTGGGAAATGGAGGGGACTCAGTTGGATGGGGGAATGAGAAAATGTCCTGGGATGGATGGGAGGAGGGGCCCCTCTTTCTTGTTTTCTTTCCTCCCAGGGAGTCCCCCAATGGAAACTCTTACATTACAGGTCTACTTTCAGCTTGGGCCAAGGACTCTGGCTTCCTGTCAGCAAAAGCTTTGTGGTTCCACCTGTGGAGCTGTCTATCAACCCCCTGGCCAGCTGTAAGACTGATGTGCTCGTCACAGAAGACCCTGCAGATGTCAGGTAGGGAGATCATCTCTAGTGTCTACCACCAACTTCCATGAGCACTGGAAGCCATTCGATTTCAGGAACACAGATCACCTGTGAAGGTGCTCACCTTGTTGTTGAAGTAGGCACCTGCCTAGTTGATTATATAAGGAACACTTTAAATCTACCCAGCTCCTCAAAGTTTTCTGTGTTGGTGGCCTCAAAGTCTTATGTTCTCACATTAGTGCTTTCCCACTGGGTTTATAGAAAACATGAGAGAAGCTAACATACCAACTAGCTCATCATGAGTTCCTTAATATTATCTTATAAAAGACCATTACTCATTGGTGTATCAGAGAGTCAAAAGGGCAAACAATTGGAGAAGATGATGCTTTCTGTTGTCATTGTGATATTGGGGACACACTTTGGGCTAATACATGAGTTTTCAGTGTCCCAGTCAAATTCTTTGTTCTTTACTTATGGAAGGACAGAGGCTGCATTTCTCCTTAAATGCACTGCACTGTATAGGTAATTTTGTTATAGACTTACTCCACTATGTTGTAGTTATTTGACTACATATCATTTTGTCACACTGTGTGGTGAACCTTTCAAGGTAAAAGAAAATTTAGCTTTTTTGTCTCCAGTTCCCAACATATATAGGGCATCTACTAAATGCTTATTGATTTTATTATGCCAGGAGTCTTACACCTGATCCTAACACTGTTCTGGAGCTTTCTAGTCTTGCTGTTGTTGATTTCTTCCCCTCCAAATTTGATTAGGGATATCACTCTAGAAATTTAGGTATGACCGTGAATGGACTCTTAGGTATAACCATGAATGGTTTTATTTTTGGAACTGCACTGCCCACAGCTTAGTGGCTCCTGAACTGGAACTAAATAAAATACAGCCCTCCTTCCTCCCAGTGACTGCTTTACTAACTGCCTTTGGACCATTCTAAATGAAGATATTATCAATATGTGTATAATATCTTGAAAGAAGCCTCCTGGAACCAAACTATCCTGCTGTGTAATTTACTTATTTTCACGTTTTAAACTTTTACTGGAAAGAATGAACCTAACGTTCTTTTTCATGCTATTAACATTTCCCAAAATGGGTAGTTTCAAAAAGAATAGATTATTAAAAGGATGACATTTAAGAAATGAAAGAGTCTCTGAGTGGTGCAAACAATTAACACCCTCAGCTGCAAGCCTAAAGGTTGGAAGTGTGAGTCCACCCAGAAACACCTCAGTCCTGCCAGTCTCCTTCCAAACATTCCGCCACTGTGAATTCCATAGAGCACAATTATATTCTGACACACATGGGGTTACCATGAGTCAAAATCTACTCAAAGGTGAATAGCTACTGGATATTTAGAAAATGAAGCAGAAATTGCTAAGAATTAGGATGGGTTCACAGACAAAAAAGTGACTCATGGCAGACTACCATTATTTCCATTTTTTATAGAATTGAACTGGATGAGGCTTGGTAAAGCTAAGGTCTCTCTCTATTACATATTTGAAAGATGCAGCAAGGACCATCCGGTTAAAGGATCATTCACAAAGAAATCCAATGACCTTGCCTGAAATCCCTGAAAGAAAGTCTGTACTAGTTTTCTTCAGAATTCCGTACTGTTGACATTACATTAGTGATTTGAGTGAAGACACTGAAGACAAATGTGTTGGATAGGTTGATGGTAACACTCGCTCTAGAGTTGGACAGGTGTGGATTAGAACCCCATATCTGTCACATATGAGTCATGTGATCTCAGCCAAATTTAACTAAGTTTCCACATCTTTGACTACAAAATGAATATAATAGCAGAATCCAGTATGCAATATAATAATAATAATTCATACCATTTAATTAATTTCCTATCTACCAATAACTTTACAATATTAGCTTATCACATCCTTTCATCAACTGCATGAGTCAATGCTATTATTTTCTCCATTTTTGAGATCAAATAATAGTAATCATCATCTGAGGCATAAAGGTGATACCTTGACTAGTAAGTGATGATGCCAAGTTTTAACCTTTGATCTGTCCAGCTCAAGAGCCAATGTTTTTAGACATTTCATTTCAATAGCTCTGAAAAGTTGTTGTGATGACTAAATCATGGAAGCTATGCAAACACTGGTACATGGTATACTCCTAGTGGTACCATCCACTTATTTGAGATGAAGTGAGTTCAATTTCAAGTTCATCCTCCCTTTCAACTAGAAATTGATGACTGATCATGGTGGGGAAGCTGGAGTGGGCATGGTTGTGCACTAGGTAATCTTTCAACCTTGAACTGTGTATTTCCCTGGCATTGTCAATGCCATGTTCCTTCTGAGAGCAACTGTTATCTCTAAGATGACTTGAATCACTTTATTCTACTCCAATCTGTGTTACATTAAATATCAAGCCAGGCATATAGGTGCCCAGAATACTGATATATAGCGAGCTGTAAAATACCTTTGCAAAAAAAAGTTGAGTAAACATAAGTGCAAGAATATATCATAGAGAGGATCTTTTATGTGGTTGGAAGGAATGTTGTGACAAGTTGGAAGGGTAAGATCCCCAAATGGCATACTCTTGTAACAATTAGATGTGTCTTGAATCCCTTCTAAGAATGCTGTGCCTGATTACCTAGAGGACACACTTTTGCCAAGTTGGAGAGTTACCCAGGATGGGGCGGGAGAACTCATTGTCGTCGAATCGATCCTGACTCATAGCGACCCCTCCTTGGGTTTCCAAGGCAATATCTCTACAGAAATAAATTGCCCAATCTTCCTTTCAAGGAGTGGCTGGTGGGTTTGAACTGCCAGCCTTCTGGTTAGCAGTCAAATGCCTTAGGCACTATGCCACCAGAGCCCCGCCCCCCCAGGATGGGAAAGGGGATGATATACTACAGCCATTTTTCCTCCTTTTCAACCCTTTTTCTACAAACCAGTAAGATACTCCTTTAAAGAAATGTTGCACAAATATTTGAAAACTATTGGTTTGATGAGGACACTAAAGTATTATCCTGCTCGAGGTGCCCATATGCCTTAGTCTGGGTGTGAAACAACCACAGACAGCCTTTTAAATCTTACCTTTATCTTATCTCACATAAGCCTATTGGTCTCATCACAAGAGTAGATAAAAGAGCTTGCAATCATTACCACTCAAAAGAATCTGCACTATATAGACTGAACATTCCAGGCTGTACTAATAAACCTTGTTTGACATGACATTGTCCAAGCGAGCAAATCATGGACATTTAAAGAATTAATAAGTTCTAGTTGGACAGTATGTTATAAATTAATAAGTAGTAGATCTTAATTATAGATAGCCAATAATAACACAGGCATGGAGTCATAACAGAAAGACTAGAGGAAAGAGTGTGTGGAAAAGTGGAGTTCAGGGAAGATAAAGGTAAGCATACCAGCAGGATTGGAAAGGAAGATTTTAAAGTGTTTTGCCAATTCATTCTTCGTTTTGTTTTTTTTTTTTTAATCTGTGATAAATTCTTTGAAAAGTATAGGACCTCACACTTTGAGAGGCAGAACACTTAGTGGTCAAATATATAGATTCTAACCAATCAGGGCAGCTAATTTTTAAACAACTGATGATAACAAATGTTGGCAAGGTTATGAAGCAACCAGAACTTTCATGCCTTGATTGTGGAGAAGTAAGTTAGTATTACCATTATGTAGAACTGTTGGGCAGTGTCTACTAAAGTTGAACATATGTAATCTGACCTAGAATAAGTGTAGTCGAAATGTTCCTTGGAAGTGAGAATGGTCAGACTTCATCTCACCTACTTTGGTCATGTTGTCAGAAGGGACCCATCCCTGGAGAAGGATATCATGCTTGGTAAAGTGGAGGGTCAAAGAAAAAGGGGTAGACCTCAACCAGATGGATCCCCACAGTGGCTGCAGTGATAGGGTGAAGCATAGGAAGGATTGTGAGGATGGTGCTGGACCAGGAAGTATTTTGTTCTGTTGTACAGACTGTTGCTTTGAATTGGAATTGACTCAACAGCACCTAACAACAACATAACCCATTGATTCTACTCTTAGAAATATACCTAACAGAAATGTGCACATATGTGCCACAAATAATGTGTATAAAAATACTAAGAGTGGCGATGATTTTTAGTACCAAAAACTTCAGAAAAACACAAATGTCCATTATCAAAAATGTAGGTAAGTAAATTATGGAATAATCACACACTGGAATACAATTAATGGTAAATGTGAGCGAACATAACAACTACACACAACACCGTGGATAGACTTTACAAGCAAAATGTTGAATTATAGATGCCCAGACACAGAAGATTATGTTTGTTTATATAAAGATCAAGAACAGTGAAAATGAACCTGTGAGGTTATACTAAATGATAGGGATTACTTTTGGGTGTGGGAGGGGCCGGTGGTGGGGAGAAGCATAAGGGAGCTTGTGTGATGCTGGTTATGTTTGATTTCTTGATCTGAGTGGTGGCTACATGAGTGTTATGTACTCTGAAAATTCATCAGGTATACAGATAGGGTTTTTGCACTTTTCTCTATGTATGATTTCTGATTAAACATGAAGTTTTTTGTTTGTTTTTTTTTTAATAGTCATAGGCTATGAGGCCAAACTGAACTGCTGAATTCAAGTCCCAGCTCCACCGCTTGCTTATGGCATGAGCTTGGGAAAGTTATATTCTTTTACTGTAGCTCTGTTTCCCCTTGTGGATAACAGGAATAGAAAACTGTGTCATAAAAGAGAGTGGTGAAGATGAAATGACATGATAGATAGAAAGCACTGCGTTTGGCATTAATTACTGTGCTTGTTGTTACTGTGGCATAGTGGTTTTTGTTCATCTTTCTATTTTTAATTTTTCTCTTTCTTTTGCCGAGAAGTTAATCCAATCTCTGATGCATCTTAAAATCTTAGATTCAAGGGTTCAACTAATTAATTAATTAATTTGTGGTGGGGTTGTGGGGAGACTTTAATATTAAAATATGTGAAGTCAATTTGGAAGATCTAGTGGTTTTATGTGCATGGAAAAATTTGAAGATTTC